GATATTTATTCTTAGAAGAGTCAAATGACGGTGACTCTTAGGCTAGGTAAGCTAATGATGTAAGGATCAAGCCCCCAAGTCTAGCTTTAATTAGATAGGGATGAGCATAGAGAATCCCTTGATATGATCATGGTGTGTGAATGTGAATATTAATGCATGTTTATTACGGTCGCACCTCGATGTGAGGTTGCCTACGTATCCGTTAGGAATCAGGCCGAACGTAGCTCTAGCCGAACCTCGCACAAGTGTGTGTATACCTCTAAAAGGTCTTTTTAACGTTGTAACGTGGTTAGGCTAAAGGTTATAGAAGAAAGGGATAAGGGCTCAAGACCCTAGATAATCCCCCAAGGTGTGCAATCTCGCTTTAGAATCTTTGTATTTTATTTTTATGCTTGAGTTTCTTCTCTTTTTTAGCTCTTTTTTGTGCTTTAGCATTTATTTTATTTTTATAAGTGTGGGAAATCTCAATCATGCGGTCTATCACTCACTTGGCATTCATGTTTCTCAGGCACAACACCGAGCACTCGATAAGAGACGCAATCTGAGACGTGTTCATATCGAAGACATTTTCATGTCAAAGACATTGGAACACTTACCATTTTTTACACTTTTATTTATTTATTTTGTTTTTTCTTTTTTTGCTATTGCTTTCTATTTATTTTGATCTTTTGAAATCACTCAAGCTTTTTAGAATTGCATAAGTTGCACACTGTCCCATCCCAAGGTTAGGTAGATATGGGTTGGAAAATGAAAGGTCTATCATTAGACGAGGCTCAAAGTGGTTTATGAAGAAAGATTGTAAATTAGAAAGGTGAAAGGCAATATGATGTGGCTAAAAGGGGTGCCTCAAATCATTGGTATACCTTGTGTTTAGTTTGACATGGATCTTTTGTTTTTTTTTTTAAAAAATAATATAATGAAATGATCATATGAAAGAGAATAAATTAAATGCTCATTTTTATTAAAGAGGGAAAATGAAAGAATCTACAAAATTAATCTAAGGGAGAAGAAAAGTGCCTATGCTAGACTTATTGGGGAAAGGATAAATAAATAAAAAGAAAAAAGATGTCATGAAATCTCATCGTTTGAAGCTCGCCTTATGTCTTGTATTGTTTTCTTTATCATCACTCGCTCTTCTTGTTAACTGGAGGTATGGGAAGATTGTTATTATCAATCAAATGTTGGATAGCCTCCTTTAGCTTCCAAAAGCTCTCAGTAGCATGACCCCTACCTTGATGGTACTTGCAGCGCACATTTGGATTCCAACTAGGCAACCTCTTCTCAAGTGAGGGATCTTGAAGAGGACCAATAGGAGTAATGAGTCCCTTGGCATGGAATCGATCGAAAACATCATCGTAGCTAATTCCAATAGGAGTAAAATCCTTTTTTGTTGCTTTCTAAATCCTCAATTATCCATGGCTAAGATGTCATTATGGTCGAAAGTACCAATACTGTTACTAGAGTAGATGTTTTTGGAAGAAGAAGGATAGTCATTCTTCTTCCCTTTACTGCGACTGTTACTATAGTTACTAATCTTGGCCTTCTTGTCGCGCGGAGGAACATGAAGGAGATTTGAATCAATGAAGTCTTGAACACGATCCTTGAGGGCGACACACTTTTCGGTAGTGTGACCGCGACCTCTATGGTATTAACAATAGGAATTTGGATCCCAATTGGGAAAACGTTTTTCAGATGGAGGGTCTTGAAAGGGACCAATGGAGTGAATAAGACCTTGATCATGAAGGCAGCCAAAAGCTTCATTATAAGTCATTCATGTTGGTGTGTATTCTTCAATGCTCCGTTTTGCCCGTGGCTTAGGAGCATTGAGTTCTTCATTAAACCCTTGGCGAGAATTTTGTTCGATGGCCATCACCCGATTTGCTAATCCTTCTACCACATTCAAGAGCATGGCAATGACATCTTGCAGTTTTTGAACGTCATCTTTCATATTTGACGAGTTTTCCTTGGTATTATCTAAGAAAAGACTTTCATCCTCCTCAATAATGGCCACTTCATCGAGAGAGCTTATATAGGCTGTCTCGATCATGGGTTCTCCTACAGGTGTGATAAGAAGAGATGAATCGAAGGATGTTCGGTTTTCTTCAATGGCTAGAATCTTAGAAGTTTCATTGTTATCAATCAGATCTTGAATAGATTCTTTGAGTTTCTAACACTCCTCGGTGTCGTGACCCTTTCCTTGGTGATATTTGCAGTGCTTATTAGGATCCCACTGGGGTGGCCTGGCTTTTGCAACTGGATCTTTGATGGGCCCTATGGGCATGACTAGTCCTTTGTGGTGTAGCTTCTCGAAAGCTGTTTCATAGCTCATACCAAGTGGAGTGAACACCCTTTTTGACCTTTGGATTCGTGATTTAGAGGTGTTCATGGCATGTACCTCATTAATGGAAAAGAAAGAAGAACGACGCCAAAAACTGTAGGGAATATTTCAAGCGTTAACCCCCTATCTTGAACCCCACTGTGGTCATACACTAAAGTACGGTGGCTTCCAAAGGGAAAGAAGATAGAGCAAAAGAGTCGCCAACAAGTTTTTTAAGGAACTTGTAAACCGTTCACAGGGTGAAGGTTACACCCTTAACGATCCAAGAGATCATCAACTCCGTAAGGTCTTGAACCAAATAGGGTTCGGGGATGAAGGTACAAATCCAACCTAAAAGAGATTAAACCTGCCCTAATAATAGGCCTCTAGTTTATTCTGATCGTATTCATGTGCGCTTCTTGACTAACATGCAATCAATAGGTTTAACCCTAAACCTGTTTATCTATGTTGGTTAAATGTAATGCACAAATAAATCTATTATTGGAGATCACTTGAATTATAATCAGATTAACCCTAACAAGATTATTAATTATCTTATATAATCGTGATTACAAGTACTAATTCCCTTTAAACATGCATAAAAGGCGTGATCAAGCAATAACAATAAATATATACCAAGCAACATAATAATAATCATCATAATAATATTTATATTTATCATAATCATGTTAAAGCATAATAATATATAGCAAGATCCTAGGCATGACACTAACAAGATTAATAACAAACCCTAGCATGTCACTAAACAATAAAAATCAAAGCTTTAGCCCTAACATGATACTAACAATCATAAATATTAGGAAGAATAGGAAGCATTGCAGGAAACACAATTGTCGTATTTCATATTTGAAATTATAGTTGTTACCCTAAACATGATACTAGGAAGATCAAAACGCCCTAACATAACACTAGGAATCATAATAACAACCTAGACATGATTTCTATATCATATTAACAATGTAAACAATTAAAGCACTTACTTAGATGCCTCGTATCTCTTTCTAATAACAAAATACACGCGTTAGTAACTTCAAGGAAAATATTAAAATCAAAACAATTAAATTAAATAATTGAAAGAGAGATTCGGGACCAAACCCTCAAAAATTAAAACCTTTCACGTGTAGGGCGAAGGCAACTTCGAATATGGCTAGGTGTGTCTAGATCTAATGAATGCGGAATTTTGTATTTGAGAGAAGGCTAGTTTAGAAAAGAGAGAGAGAGAAATGGTAGATTGTAGATGAAAACTGATGATTGATGATGAATGTGGATGAATGAAAACGGACATTTTACGACGTTATTTATAAAGAAAACCAGCCAAAAAGATAAAATATCAAAACAAAGTTCAGGCGCAGATAAAATTGGATTAGCGCCAACGCTGGCTATTGGCGCCAGACGCCAACATTAGCGCCAGGCGCCAAGCGTAGCGACAGGCGCTACAGCTGGCGTTTGGCGCAAATCTAGAAATTCACACGTTTTCTTAAAATCAGATAAAAATTGTCGTACAGGAGGATAAAATCGCATCTTTCCTTAAAAACGCTCTTTGATTTTAATTAAAATTCTGAAAAGTCAACAAAAGTCAATTTATCAATGCTAATTAAATTAGGAATGAAAAGAACCTTCTAGAAGAATCTAGAAGACTAAAACAGTTCCTAATTGCATTAGGAATGACAAATCTATATTAGTCCCTCCCCTAGATCATTGGGCCGTATATAAGGCTCGAACCGGGCCCAGTTTAGTAAATTGGCCATAACTTCCTCAATATTCATCAGAATTGGGCTTATAATATATCGTTGGAAAGCTCTTGTCAAGCCCCATCCAACTACACTACTATCGGACCCATTAATGATTCGACGTGAAAGGTACTCATCACTGGGTTTGGTTTTGGGGAGACACAAATGGGTGTCTACAGTAATGCATATCTAACAGAAGAGATAGGGTACTTTTTCTCTAACTACTTCCAACAAGGAGTGGATACCAAAACACGTGACTTAGGTCGTAATGTGCATGATGATGTTTAAAGCACTTTGGATGATAGTGTTCCAGAACTGTTTAGGGTTGATTATGGACATGCTTCTACTATTAGAGTTCGTCGCTTTTTGAATGAAAAAGAACTACAACATGCTCATTTATATGTACTGGGAAATAGCGGCATTCTGGAACCATATGAGAGGTATTAAATTTATATATTATCACACTCATTAAGATTTCATTGAATTTTGCATCGCATCCAATGTTGACCACCTTCACTAATACTCTTTCTCTGGTTATATGGAAGGGGGTTTGAGGACCACATTGTTCAAATGCAACCACTAGGTGAAAAAAGAAGATTGGCACCGCCCTAAGGCCACCGGTTTTTAAAAACTAGTGTGGAAAATGTGGGGAAAAATAGGCGGGATTTTGAGAGGAGGTTTTTGCCACCGTTTCAAACTAAACCGGTGGACAAAAACATTATTTTCACCGGTTTGAATCGGTGGCTTTTCCTTTTTTAAAAAAAAAACGCCCCTTATAAAAACCCAAACCCTACTCTCAAATCACTCAGCCTCCCTCATTCTCTCTCTCCTCTCCTCTTCTCTCTCTCCTGATCTCATCTCATCTCCTCCCCAATCTCATCTCCTCTTTCCTGCTCTCTCATCTCACCAACACCGCCGTCGTCCCTCTTCTTATCTTTCCTACTCTCTCGTCTCACCACCACCCCCGCCATCGACTTCTTTCCCCTCTCAGTCTCTCCGACCTCCCTCTATCCCTCTTCTTTCCCCTCTCGATCTCTCCGACCTCCCCTCACCACCACCAACGCCACTAACCACCACCGCCACCAAGTCCGAAATCAACCCTAACTTGTAAAATTCAAGGTTATTTTCAGGTAAAATTCGAGGTTAGTGGCTTAGTGCATGTAGTTGGGTTTAATTACTCGGGGTTAGGGTTTCAGGGTTTAATTATTTATTTTACATGCCTTGACTTTTTTTTTGGGTTTGATTGTTGTAATATTGTTCAAAATTGATGGGTTTAATTGATTTTGGAATTTTCTGGGGTTAATTGATTTTGTTTAGTTGTATACGTTTAATTGAGTTTCGAAATTTCAGGGTTTAATTTCGAAATTGATTGGTTCGATATTGTTTGAAATTTCTGGGTTTAATTTTTTGTTGGGTGTGATTGATTTTCGAAGGTTTATGGGTACATGCATGATATCTGGGTTTTTTTTTTGAGTTTTAATAATTTCTGGGTTTTTTTGTTTTTTTTTTCTGGAATTTTGTTTGATTTCTGGGTTTATGGTTTTTTTTTCTTTATATTTTTCGCAGCTTATTTATATTAATCAATTTATTTTTTTTGTTTTAATTGATGCAGGTATAATGATTTATATCTTAAATTGAAGAATCAAGATGCAGGAATATTGATATAGATGTTGTATGGGTTTTTTTTTATTTTAATGTTGTAACTTTTATTTTTTGATTTATATTGAATTTTTTTTTTATTTGTATGTTGTAATTGTTAGATTATATTGATTTATATTGTAATTTTGATGTCCGAAATTGTGATCTATATCGAGCAATTAGTAGATTAGAAAACTGTTCAGTAATAAAATTATGATGTTGCGTTTCCAATTGTTTGATTATTTAATTTATTCGCTTTTTTTTTGAGGAAAAACGAGCACTCAATATCCACACTTTTATTATATTTAAAGTGAATAAAACAAAACAAACAAACAAAAAAAAATTTACATGGACTACTTCCACCGGTTAACCGGTGGCATTAATTTAATATTAAAAACAAAAAAAAAAAGCGGGACGTGTGTATTGCCACCGGTTAACCGGTGGCAATAACAGTTTTTGCCATCGGATTTGAACCGGTGGCCTTGCTTCAGTTTATTGCCACCCCCCAAATGCCCACCGGTTCAAAACCGGTGGCATAGGGGGGTTTTGAACCGATGGCCAATTGATATTTTCTACAAGTGAACCCACTATTCGCAAAGAAGATGTGTGGATTAAACATGAAGCTGAATTTTCCACGAGTGGTTTAGGTTGAAAGTGAGTATGATACGCATTTGACATCAACACGTTTTCTTACTTTGTTGCTATAACTTCACGACATATACCAATTTAATATAATTCTGCCATATGAGCAGGTGATTCAAGAAAATCCAAATGATGAAATATTGTTTGCTTTGGCTATGGGCCCATCTAAGCGAGTGCGTACTTGGAGCCAATTCTATGTGAACGGATACAAATTCCAAACTTATGGCCATGGAAAACATAAGTGATGTGTCTATTTTATATTGTATTTTACCCCCGTCCCTTGGTCATAATTAGTAGTGTTTTTGGCTCTTTAGAGCCACTTTTATTACTAATTGGTGTTTTCTAGTGTTTTCGTAGATTTGGTTGACTTTTGCAGGGATTTATGCTTTTGGAGTATTTTCCCGAGATATTTTGGAGCAATCACGAGCATTGGAGAAACACGACCAGATTTTATAGCCCAGGGCCGGTTAGAGCCATCGAACCGGTGATTAAGGGCTCGGTATAGGTGATACCGGGGCATTTGGACCGAGTATTCTAGACCCAAAGAGGAAACCCAGATTGGCCCGAAGAATTGGAGCCTAATTGAAGTCCAAATATTGGCCCAAATGAGCCGCCCGGCCAAAAAGGCTGGCGCCCGGAGGCGCGCCTGGCCGGGCGGGAGATGCTTGGTCTGGCGCCCGGTGACGCGCCCGGCCGGGCGCGAGATTAGTGTTAGAGTCAAAAAGGCGCGCCCGATCGGGCGCGTGTATTTTTTGGAGACGATTAGCGTCGTTTTAATTTGTTTTAGTTTAGGATTTTTGTACGGAGTATAAATACTCCTACGTAATACGATTTTAGTATCTCTTCTTCTTAGACTTTCTCTCTCTACTTAGTTCTCTCTCTCTTAATCTCTCCCTAAACTTTTGTTCTTAATTCTTTCATTAATTCCAGATTTATTTTGGTAACGATTTCTCTTCCCTTAATCTTAGGTATTTATTTTATTCCTTTCATCATGATTTATTTTATTACTTTGATTAGTTTAATTTTTAATATGTGTGAGTAGTTTAATTTCTAGGGTTTATGGGGATCTAATAAATAATATGAAGGGGTAAATTATTGTTGTTGATTATCAATGCTAGATTAATTTCCTATTGATTGAATTAATGCTCTGTGACTAGATTAGGCCTATCTTTTATCATGAGTTTGACAATATTGATTCAAGAATCGAGAGATGAAAATTAATGTTTAGGTCTAGTTTCAATAGGCAAGTTAATTTATAAATGGTTAAGTTAAGATTCGAGAGATGAGATTTAATACCGGTAAATTAATTGTGTGATTGTAATACGTAGCGAGAGCCCTTTACAATCTGGTTAATTGATGCATTGATGATTGACTATTATTGATTATTGGTATTGCATAATAATTTCTTATTGGATTGTTTTAATGTTTTACAATTGCGGCTTGTAAAAGTATAGCAATATTTAATTGATGAATCTAGCAGATGTTAATTTGATATTAAAGGCTATTTTCAATAAGGACTTAGATCTAGTAAATTGCGAGAGCTTGTTAGATCTATGTTGATTAATAAATTGCGAGAGCCTGTTAATCATGTTATTTATGCAATGTCAAAGATTGATTACTATGTTTTACCCTGGAGTATTATTTATTGGTGAGCCTACGCCCTAGATCCCTTTATATATCGTTCTCTCCCTACTCTTATTCCTTGTAGTTTAGTTTCATACTTAATTATAAATATTGGTCACTTAAATAATTTAGATTATAATAATTAATTAGAAGTAAAAAGACTTGTTTCCCTGTGGAGATCGACCCTACTTCCCTATCTACCTTAGTTAGTGATTTAGGTAATTATTTTTGATTAGGGGATACGACTTTACCCTGTCAAAATTTGGCGTCGTTGCCGGGGAATCGGTTTTATTTTTATTTCTGATTGTTTTTTTTTAGTCTAGATTATTTCTCTTTTGTCTTAAAGAGCGTTAGTTCTCTGAGACAAATCTCATATTTGCTTCTAGTTTTTTGTTTATGCCCAGGTGTTCCAGATCAGGTTACATCCCATTCGATCCTGAGATCGAACGTTCCTTCTATAGACAGAAAAACTTCTACAAGCAAATCCTGGCGGATTCTGGTGATAATAACAATAATCACCGCTATCCTCCAACTGATTCTAGCAATTCAGAGACATCATCATACACAGAATCAGAGATGGCGGCTCCAAAGAAGCTTAGTGATTATTCACAACCAAAGCTTATGGATTTTCCACATCTCACCCCTACTCCGGCTCTTAATGGGGTTCAATTTGAAATTAAACCTCAATTTATAACGATGATAGAGAGGAAGCAATTCAGTGGAGCCAAGGGTGAAGACCTGAATCTTTACATTGCCGACTATTGTCAATATTGTAACACCATCAGGCAAGCCGGGGTCACTTAAGACCAAATCAGGGAGATTCTCTTTCCCTTCTCTTTAACTGGAAAAGCTAAATTGTGGTTTAATGGCTTAATTAGAACTACACTTGGTATAACTGACTGGGAAACTCTTGTTTTGAATTTCTATAACAAGTATTATCCTGCAGAGAGAAACAGCAGTACTACGAAGTGCGATTCAGAACTTTGCCCAAGAAGCCGATGAGTCTTTATATGAGGCTTGGGAGAGGTTCAAGGACCTACAAAGAGAATTCCCCCACCATAATTTAGCACAATGGCAGTTAATCCAAGCCTTTTATAACAGCATTGGAAATTCCTCTAGCATAATTTTAGACTCTGCAGCTAGTGGGAGATTCATGAATCTCAATGTTGATGATGCAGGTCAGGTTATTGAAGATATGGCGATACACAATTCCCAATATGGGAATCCCAGAGGATTTGCTAATAAGGGGAAACATAGTTTCGACTCTGTATCCTTTTTGCAAGCTCAACTGACCTCTATTTGCCAAAAATTAGATAATCTGAGCACTACTAATGTAGCCAATGTTTCTGCGATTAATAATTCTAATGAGGCTTTCTGTGAAAATTGTGGTATTGTAGGTCATTGGCAGCAGGATTGCAGGAGTTCCGTGGAGCAAGTTAATGCCTTCCAAGCTTATAGGCAGAATAACCCATACTCCAACATTTACAATCTTGGGTATCGGAATCATCCATACCTTTCCTACCGGAGCACTAATGTTCAAAATCCACCACCACATGAACCACAGGTGCCACAGCAACAGCAGCAGAAATATTATCATCCCAATGCTAGCCAGAAGAATCAACCACAACAACCCCCCTCATCTTCCGACCCTTCTTTGGGGGAAATTAGAGCAATGTTGGTCAATATGCAAAAGCACATGGAGAGCAGGGATGCGACAATTGATCAAATTCTAGCACATAATAAAATTGTAGATACTCAAATTGCGCAACTCTCCGCTACTCTACAAGCACGCTAACAGGGAGCCCTGCCGGCACAGCCGACTAGGCCTACGGATCAAGCATTTGCAATTACTCTAAGGAGTGGTTCAAACTATGAAGGGCCCTCTATTCCCAGAGTTGATGAACCTATTTTATTAAATAATGCTAATCTTGATTCCATTAAACCAAACAATGTAGTTGATAGCCCTGCAGGGCTAGAGGATAATACTAACATATCTAATTCTACATTGCAGGGTAAAACTCCAGAGAAGGTGGCTAATCCAAACAAGAATAAGAATGCTCAAAAGCCAATCATCAAACTTCCTTTCCCCAATCGTCAATTGAAGACAAACTTGGATAAGCAGTTTGGTAAGTTCCTGGAGGTGGTAAAAGATTTAAAGGTAACAGTCCCCTTTACTGAATTGATCACACAAATCCCATCATATGCAAAATTTATGAAAGAAATTTTGACGAGAAAAGGTCTATTAGTCAGGTAGAGACAGTAGCTTTCACTGCAGAGTGTAGTGCCGTACTTCAAAATAAGTCTCCACCTAAATTAAAAGATCCGGGTAGTTTCGCTATCCCTTGTCATATTGGCAATCTCTTGATTGATAATGCATTATGTGATTTGGGTGCTAGTGTTAGCGTTATGCCATTATCTGTGTGTTCTAAGTTGAATATGGGTAAATTAAAAGCTACTAATATAACTCTGCAAATGGCCGACCGTTCTTTCAAATACCCCCTAGGTGTTTTAGAGGATGTTCCCGTCAGAGTAGGTAAATTTTATATACCTGTGGATTTTGTTGTTCTTGATATGGCTGAGGATATGCAAACCCCAATTATTTTGGGTAGACCATTCCTTAACACTGCAGGAGCAGTCATAGATGTTAGAAGTGGTAAGTTAACACTATCAGTAGGGGACGATAAAGTTGTTTTTAATCTGAATAATGCCCCCAAAAGCTCCATGACTGAGGAGAAATGTTTCAGTGTTAATGTGGTTGTAAATTATTCTAACAAGCCCCAAGCTCTTGAAAAAGATCCCTTGGAGGCAGTATCTTGTTTTGCATCCTTTTCAGATGAGATAGAAAGATGGCAAAAGGAAGTCGATGCAATAGAAAGAGCACTCTACAATGTTGGTCTTGGTTTCGAGGATGAACAAGTGGAATCGATCGAGCAAGTTGTGCGAATCGAGCCTACAGTAAGT